GCCTGTGCCATTATGGCTCATACGAGACCCCCTATACTACTCAGCTATGAAATCACTCTTGTGGTCCTCGTCTAAACAGTTCGATAACGTTTTAAATTTCTCCTCTTAACTTTTATTAAATAAAAGATGAAACAATCGCCGAATTAGCGTCCTAAGAAAACAATGTTTTGACAATGTAGTGATTTGCGTCCAGACCGCAGATCATGGGGGAAGTCCTTGCTGTAGTGTTTTCTCCACCAAACCAAGTACAAGTAAAAAGACGAATTTGATACTTTAGGTAAAGCTAATAAAGTTGGAAGTGAAAGATTAACCATGTTTTTCGTATCTTAATTCATGGTAAAAAGTAAATAAACAACATAAAAGATAAGAAGGGAGATTAAGGAAAATTGGACACATGTCGATATCTATTTACGGGGTGACCTACGTAGTACGCAGTTGATGTAATGTATTCATAAAATGTATTGTATTCCATTGTTTCTCGTTCTATTGTATTATGTGTTTTGTATTATATCTTTATGAATACACCTAATTGAAGAAACGTTGTCGGGTCCAAAAAGGTCAAATCATAGAAGCTAAGACTGAAAGGGTACTTGGGAAGACAAACAATTTGKCTAATTTCATAACAAACAGCTCTCCAGCATAAATGACTAGCATGCTGTTAATCTTACTAGCTCTACTTGATTTACGGTACACAGTATATGCAAATGTAATCCCAATTTAGTGGTACTCAAAATCCCTTTCGGTCTTAGATTCTATGATGTGACCTTTTCGAACATGACTACGTTTTTTCAATTAAGTGTATATTACATCAACTGAGTGCTACGTAGATTCTCCCACATAATTTTAAGTAATGATAATTTTTGCGTTTACGAAACATAGAACATGTTTTTCCAAAAATGTTTTCTTCATTTTGAGTTATAATTTTTCTAGCTTTAAACGGTTGCAGCACATACAATATGTCCATGAAGTGTTGCAACCACTTATAAAACCATGAAAATCCTATTAGTAATTTAATTAAATGAGTGCTAGAGTGGTTTTCATAAACCCGTGAAAGAAAGTGTAATAATTAGAGTGTAATAGATCGTAATAGTCACGTAGAGACAATAAAAACAATAGAGCCAAAGTGTAATAGCGATAAATACCCTAAAGTGTGTTTCACGGGTTAATGAAAACCACTCTAATTGTACTGAATTATACGAATTCTTTTGATTTCCTTTGTCTAATCTACACTATATTGAGCTATTTAGCACTATTTGGTTAGAGAGAAGTCATGCATTAAACACGTAAAACAAAATTGGAGTATTAAAGCGTGCATGTCAAAAAAGACACACAGCAAAAAATTCAATTACAGCCTACTAAGATTTTAGTATTAGAGTGATCGCACTTAAACTGTGCAACGTTACAAAATCTAAGTAGTTTTAATTTGTACTAAAAGTGGACCTAAAGCAAGACGGTATTGAATGCTTCATTTGTATCAATTTCATTTTGGGAAGAGTGATCGAACTTAAACCGTGCAACTGTACAAACTAAATAGTGCTATTTAGTTGTATTTAGTAAATCGTGCATGCAGTATTGAATTATACAAATGAAGCATTAATCCATTAGTCCACTTTTAGTACATATTAGTACTACTTAGATTTTGTACAGTTCCACGGTTTAAGTGCGATTACTCTAGAGACTGTAAAAATATGCTTTTTTCCTTACTCTATTCTAGAGCCAAAACCCCAAAAACCATGAAAACGGACTAACAATATAGAAAACAATGAAATTCGCATAATAATCCAGTTCAGTGTTAGCCTCACTCTGTGTTAGCCTGCGCAAAATATTCCTAATTGTGAGAATAGAAGTGTGAGATTTTAAATCAAATTTATTGTCTTTCTTCACAAATTCCATGGGATTTCTCGAGCTATCAATGAAACAAAAGAATATGTTMCCTAGCTTTGAGGCTAACACAGAGCAAACCAGAACTCAAAATTGAGTATTCAGGTATCATTACCAATATTCAATTTGATTACTAAATTTTTCATGATTTTAACCTTTGCAATCTACAATAGCTCTCTATCGTTCAACTGACACCATTTAGAAGTAGTTTACACTACCTATTTAATGGGTGTATTGTTTGCACTCTACAGTAGGCTCTGAATAGGAAAAAAGTAACAATTAAAACTTAATGCGTATTACATGATATCTAATTAATTGACATTGGCATTGTCATATTCGGCATATCACTGCATTACAATCTTTCAATCAGACTTGGAAAATCGGCTTAAACCAGTACTTATCATGCGGTTTTTGATTCATACTAGTTCCCASTCAATTCTCTTGCAAAGCAGAAAAGACTGGCTACAACTCTGGCGTTTTTTTATTAATAATAATAGATAATATCAACGAAAATGTACGCTTTACGGGAGCGATTTTTTTTTTTTTTTTTTGCGTTTTTTTTTTTTGCCAAAAAAAGCGAAGAGCTTTCACAATTTCCGGAGAACTGCTTCTATGTCATAGCTATTGCGCCACAGGATTTCAAGAGCTTAATTTCCCTGGCACTTCCGAGATATACACTTTAATCCTTGAAAGACTGACTAAATGTATCTATGGATAATGCTTCCTTCGCTGAAAAAATAAGAACGGATGGACAGACAGAAACTATAGGGCAAATAAATATTACTGTTTTCCTGTCCGGTCTATTCTCAAAGAGTGAAAAATAAATTATGAAATTATGAAAATGGAATAAAAAGACCATATGTACAWTACTACATTTTCGAATTGAAAGCGAATAAACGCTGTTTTATTTGACAACAGATTCTCTTGCGCAAAGGCCGTTACAAACACAAAAGAAATCAAGAGAAAATGTCGTTATTACAATAGCCCKAACAATTTGCATTTTACCCGATTGGAGGTTAACCCTGTATTCTTCCCAAAAGGCTTAAACGTTTTTGGAACACCATGAAAATTTCAAGGCTATTTTAATTTTAWAAACGAAATTTTTCCGTGCTTTTTTTGTGTTTGGTAAGGTCTTAACGCAAGACAGCGRTTATTTCGAAAATGAAGTATCCATGATGATAAGATCACGGAACGAAGTCATAAAARACAGTACATTATTAACATCCTACGTTTTCTGTTATGTCTAAATGTAGATTATGATCCAATTAATAATTGCGCAATTCCTTCCAGAGCTGGCGTTTGGCGGATATTCCTCCTCCGTAGCTCAGTGTAATGATACCGTGCTTTTTGATTTTAAATTGGACCTATGTCACCGATATGAAATTACACATTCAAAAGGGTTGAGAAATAATGAACAAAGTTTAAAATGGAATTTGAAATATAAACAACGAAATATTAGAAAGTAATATTATCGAAAATATTGCTATGGATCCATTGATTCTTTTGTCGTTTAAATATTAATTATGTTTCTTTTGTTTCTATTTAGTCCGGTAAACMTACTTACAAATTATAAAAATGTTGTTGTAAGAATTGAGAGCTCAGTATTTATGATTGAGTAAAAACGTATCGTGTTCACACCGAATCTTCTCCTTGCCACCATTATTTCATGGATTTCTTAGTTTCTCGATTTAGRCAGCCCTTGTAAAAATAGCTGTGAGTGCATTGAAAATATACGTATGAGTATAGAAACTGCAAATCAAATGTTATTATAAATGAATATTATAATTTTTTTTCAAATGATTACATTCATTTCTGCAATTATATACGTACTACCTGTCAAAACCATAATTGAAAAATATCGAAGGCATCACACACTGACATAGAACATATTAATAGCAAATTATGGCTTTTGTTAGCATAAATGTATGTTTAAAAGATTGCTTCCCGTTTGAATATTAGCACGTCAAACTACAATCGACTGGGCTGATATATTGCTTGCATTTCTTATTTTATCTAAATTAAGATCTCAGTATTAACAAATTCCACATTTATGATGACTTTAGGAGCCGTTTAGTGTTTTTCTTTGAGCTAAGTGAATATCTGATGGATTTGAAGTGGAGACACATACAGTGTAAATTCAGTCTTTTTTGACATTCAATTAAGTTATTACTTGCCATTCGATTCAATAAGAATGAATGCGTCTACTTGGGGACGACAATGTCAGTTACGAGTGAGCCTCAGGACCTGTTTTAACAGACTGGTTAAACCTCGTTTGCCTCATTACGCCCCCAAGCCATTTAACAGGAAAAAAAATCAGAGTACACGTCATTGAACTTAARAAATACTAAACAAAATACATACAAGCCAAAAATAAAACAGACGAATTAAACAAAAAAGTGCCGACGATTCAACCCAACAAAAGGTCTTCATTAACCATTCAGTCCTCGCTGAGGAACGAAGGTTCAACGTCTGAAACGACGTCAATAACTTTTCTGCTTTTTGCAATGGGTGGTAAATAATTAATCACAAATGCATTTTGAAAACGTGCATGAAGGTTTTTTTTCAGAGATTCTTTCCTATCTCGGGCCCTAGTTAGTAAATTAGTTTCTTTTGTTTCTCATTTTCATTTCCTTTGACTAGAGTTATATCCTGTTTTGAAAGCTGGACACCGCATAGTTCTGGGTTTTTTTAAAAAAAGAAACCTATTGAGCCCACATTAAAAACACACACACGTCGAGTGACTTTGTAACTAGAAAAGTATTGGCCATAAGAATGGCAGTCTTGTCTGCTAGTGTAAACTAAATACATTCTATATCTACCAGACAGTATATTGACATTGACWTAGGTCATGAGACAACGACGCTATGAATTATTCCTAAATTTTAAGCGTTTTCCACGGTTAGTATTACCGGTGACCACATATCAAAATAACGGGAAAAATGCCTGTATTTTTGAACATCAATTTGAATTTGTTTTACCTTTAAAATCGCGAGAGCCTTCAATTAATTATGTTCTAGATCAGGTGTAATAGTTGCTATGACAMCGCAAAGACTTCTGGTGTTAACACGTGATCAATCAATTAGCAAGTATTAAGTGTGCAAGGGGTTTTTAAGGTACAGTGTCAACTTGAGGTTCGTTCAGTTCGCGCTCGTCATCATCATGGCTCTACCACTAGCAAACCACACTCAGTTTAACACGACTAATGGAACGAATATCAGCGTTGCCGAACATTCGCCAATTACCAATTCTGTAGCTCTTGAAACGTTTAAGACCTTTATGCAAACCGTCGTTGCTTTAGTKGGAGTCGTTGGAAATCTTTGCGTATGTGTTGTTATTACTAGAAACAAGAAGCGAAAATCCACAACCGAACTGTTAATTCGAAATCTCGCTGTGGCAGACATTGGTGTGCTGTTGGTGATATTTCCTTTGTCAATTATCAGGGAAAAAATGCCTRTGAATTGGCCTCTTGGAAGACCATTTTGCGTGTATGCTTTTCCGTCAAGCGAGACGTTCTATGGAGTTTCCGTGTGGTCAATTGTGGCTATCTCTGTTGAAAGATATCGCCACCTCGTCTGCCCCTTGAAGAAAGATCGGAAACATGGAATGAAGGTCATAAAGCGGTTGATTATTTTTCTGTGGATCGGATCTTTTCTTGCTTTTTGCCTTCCGACGATTTTTTACATGAAATACCTGGAAAAAGGTGAGCRAACGMTGTGTTATGCGGATTTGCCAAGAGAAGTGCAAGAGATTTTCTTCATATACTTGTTTCTTGCGTGGTATTGCTTCCCAGTGCTCATCATTATGTGGAGTTACTTTGTAATTTCAAGAAAGCTTGATCAAAGTAGCTTCTTCCTTCGTAACATGCACACATCAGAGACACGATTCAGGGACATTTCAARCACATCCAAGAATCGACTTTCATTGATGCAGCAAAGGCGGCTATCGCAAAACCGAAGAGTGAAAAGACTCCTGACACCTGTTGTAATTGCGTTTGCCACRTTGATGATGCCAGTCAACGCATGTCGCTTTGTGTTTGTCTACAATCCCGAAATCCTCAACACAGAATCATATAAAATCATGCTCTACATGGTGTTGTTCGGCGTGGTAATCAATAGCTCCATCAATCCCATAATTTATTCCTTCGTAAGTCCTGGATTCCGTAGAGGAATTGCTGCATTCTTTAAGAATCGGTCTTATAGGATTTCGCTCATGACGGGATCAGYCATTCGTGCTGTTGGACAGAGGTTAACCCTTAGAGTCAGTCAGCGACGCACATACTCATTCAATACTAAAGATCCGGTAGAGCATAAATCTGACCGGTCAGCTCAGACTCCGGTCTCTTTGAACTGCTGAAACCTTGAGACTCATCACGGAAATAATGCTTAGAGACTTCGACCTTCGAGAAAACTKCACAATAAAAACAATACAGATTATTCACTCAAGGTTTTTTTCTTCCAAGTCTCACTGCGCAGGGAGTGAAGCTCACTATCCATGACTTTTGAGTTTTAACTAAGCTCAGACTTGAGGCTACAATGAGTTGAACTACTTGACACACTTAAAGCACGTCCATAAAGGAACTTTCCATCTTTCAGAAAACTGACGATGTCGGTGTCCGAAGAAAGTTCGAGAGAAACGTCTATAAAGTTTAATGTATGGCCTTATATTTCTAYTCCTATTTTAATTTTTTCTTCTTTACTATGTACCAAAGGACCGCTTCAGAATTCTAAGTTCAGAACGAMGAAAACACTGATCAGGCGAGACGAGACCACTTTTTTTTTATTTTAATCTTCAAAGTCACTATCATAGGTCACACATTTAGCAGCCACAGGGACATGGTATTTTTAATCCCTAAGGAAAAAAGTAGACACCGACGCAGATGAAAAACAATGTATTTAAAATATTTACTGCAGTCTCAACATATTGTTATACTTTAATTAAGGGGCATTTAAATGTTTTGGTATTTGCAAATGAAAATGTAAAAAATGTAATTAACTATCAGTGGCATTTTGGACGCCCATTGTGTCAGTTAAATTACTATATCTTTAAACAGTTTAAACTGTTTAAAAACGCCCCTTACAAGCACATCAGGACCTCGTTTTATCATGATGGAAATTGTTTCATTCTGGCACTTTATGCAGTTATGATATCGTTCTTATTTGTGTGTGTATATAAGGTGTTTCCGCGGGGGAGCATTAGCCTCGAGGCATATTAATTTAGGATAATCATCGAGCACTTTGTAAACTAGAACTTGTGATTTTGATGATTTATAGCTTCGTCTTCCAAACTGAAAATGTTATTTAAGATTTAAGTAGTGTCGTTGTTAAGTGACATTTAGTCAAAATAATTAACATGACTATGAGACTTTGAATGAGTCTTCATCTGTTGCTGTGCAGTTTCCCCCGTCGAACTCRAATTGACTCTTTGCGCGCACTGCTGATAGAATTGATCTAAACTTTCGCTGTATAAATAAAAGCAATAAAGAAGCTATGCTACTTGCAAGATGTCTTCTGTTTCTTTTTACCTATTTACCTAAATTGACTTGAAATTCTCTTGAAATACAACCYCGCTTTTTCTGAAAGGYTTTTTCTCCAACCTCATACGTGGAAATATTGAAATATTTGCTGACCAAACTAGCAATAAAGCAATTTGCTCTAACACTGCATCATACTCGYATAATATTTTCTTTACAGTTAAGCGRCATTTCTTTAAKTTTAGTAGATAAAATGCCGATGGGTTCTGAATGACTCATTCTYCGACTCGMGCAATTTAAACAAGGCCGATTTTACCTCGGTGTGGTCGAAAGCAATTATGATTTCTGATAAAAACGATGGAAAATATGATGAATGTTCTTTTGTGATTTCTGTATTCAAAATGTTTTGTTTTCATGAACTGATATGGAATTTTGTTTTTGTTTTTGTTGGCTTATTTTGGGAAAACCACAAATTTTGCCAAAGCCAAAAACCCTATAAAATTGATATTATAAGAGCTATACACCTGTGAATTAGCTACATAATTTAAATTTAACATTTTCTTTTTTGGTTTCTGTCACAAAGCAAATGTTTTTATGCAGGTAATTTTGAGTTAATGCACGAAACTTCCAATTCATTCATTCCTATTTATTTGACAATTCCATCATTTTARAATTGAAGAACGATTATTTAGTAAAACGTGTTTGTGAGATAARCAAAATTAAGAATTAGACTTTGAACAGCTTTGACATCAACTATTTCCTTGAAAAATCTTTATTTAAAGTCAAATGACAAGCGTCACTTCAAAATTATCTTCATGATATTAGAATAACACACTACAAAAGACCTTGTTTATGTTTACGCGTTTGTCAATTATTTGAATCACATTGAATATTTCTGGAGCGCTCTCAGATTTGATCAACAATTTTCTTCACTATTCTCAAGCTCAACATGGCGCCCACGATCAGAAAATGTTTTTTTTTTTTCAATTTCGTTCTATTTGCGCTAGWAGTTATTTTCATTACTCACAGCGGGTTTTGGTGTCTTTAAGTGCACACTACTTAATCAAATTAAGGAAACGTGAAGTTCGGTACGTAATATTCATTTAAGCTCTCTATTGATCTCTCTATAAAGTCATCGTATGACTGACTTGTTTTGACTGGCAATCTAAAAATACTCAGTTCAATATGGGTTGTTTTTGAAATTATATCGAGGAGGTTCTCTGAGACCTGTGTGGGGAATAGCCTAATAGAAGTATCAGTCCAGGGTCAACGCGTGCAGTGTCGGCAGATGTCGGATCATTAGGATGAGAATTCTCTCTCCTTTGATCAGGATCACATAACGTTGGATCAAGATCATTGAGTAAAAAATGATCTCTTCTTTTTGTCGATCTATTATGTGTTAAAAAAATATTTTTAAGAATAATTTGGATCAATATTTTTAAATATTAATTTGTTTTTTTAGTTGTGAAAAATAACTCATYCACTGGTGAAAACAAGAGCTGAAACCCTCTCTGTTCATTTAAAAAAACAATTTACAAAAAAAGAAATAGATAAGTTTCCTTTCTAAGAGTTCATTACTAGAGAGTCTCTTTTACGACGCTTAGGAATTTAAACATAGTTATTAAGCTTTATTTTTTTTGATATTTGATCGATTTTTTTACATTTGCTGGATCTCCACAGACGCACAGATGCAGGCTACGGTCGATATTTTTATTTAAAAATACATTCCATGGTCGATATTTTCACTAGAAAAATATTCCTTGATAGCTTGCCAGACACTTCACAATGACATGAGCTAGAGCGGTAAAAATGAATTGATAATACTAATGATTTATGCGCAAGTATTAACGTTAGATACGCCTCCAAGACAGAAGAAAAGATTTTTTTCCTCTGAGAAAAGATAAACCAACGTGAATTACTATACAGATGTTTCTAAGCCTCCCAGACATTTTGTTCAAACAGTTCTATATTCTGGCAAATACTGATTGAGTTGGAATAAGACAAGGATAAGTACTCTTAAGTATAYCACACACGGAAGTCTGCCCCTGTCCAAGACGGTCGCGAGACTCATGAAGTGTGTCTCCGTGGTGTAAACACGCGAACGTTCAAAGTCCTTTCAAAAAGTAAAATAACCTATATTATGCGTACTCAAAAAGATATTACGTTGACAATTCTTGTGATTTGAAACGATCCAAATCAAGTTRAGGCTTTTTCTGGTACTCCTAGACTGCCTAGACGTCTTTAGCAKATTTTGCTCCRACATTTATATGTTGAWGGTTTCATTTAAACTTGATTTCCTACTCCAAAGCCTCTCTAGCACTTTCTACGATGTTTGTCTGATAATTACTGATTGCGATGTAAACTTGACATTTCCAGGTGCAGTTAGATTATAAAATGGCAGTTTTAATCTGTACCWAAACTAAAAAAACACTGAAACGTTCTTTGTGGAAAGGTTTAAAAACACAAATAATACTAATCCTCTATATAAGATGCATTTTATGGAAGGTTTTTCTGATAAACATTAATTCAAACTTGACATTTCCAGTGCTTTTTAGTCTATTAATTTGCATGTAGTTTCAAATCTTTGCCTCCAAGGTAGGCTAAGCACTGGAACTTTTTTAATATATCTGCACTATGCGGTTGACTTSAACTTTTTACGATTTTTATGCCCTGATAACATGAATATATATAAAGCTCACTTCGAGTCGAGGATCTACTACTATGGAATCCTAGATAAGAAAATAAGGCCAGTAAAATTTGTACTCCAAGCCACACAACTTTAATGGCATATAGACACAGCTGTTCCTGGGCCTTTAATAATTCTGAATTATGACAAATTGGTAAAACAACATATTAAACTGCTTTGTATAAATACCATTAGAATATTTGACAGCCCCCGAGCCAGCACGAATCAATATGACATTGCTTTGATATTGGGAAAACTGAATCGACTGTTAGGGYTAAAACTGACAAGTTGATGTTCCAGAACTGCAGCGTTGCCCAACACTCAATGTTTTGCTCCCCAAGACAGGCACATTTAAAATTAAACTTTCTCATAGAAGCAAAAAAATAAGTTAAGGTGTTTTGGGGTTGCAAAGCTGTCTTAAAAGCTTGGAGGGGGAGGGGGGTAGGTAGGTAAGTGCAGGGAGAGGGGCTGGTAAGGAACACTAGGTAGAGAAGGTCATTATGAAGGTTACAGCAAAATTGCAAATTGTATTTTTGCAAAGTATAGTTAATTTGCGTTAGCATGATGATCCCGAACACTGAACTCAAACTACAGAATCTTCATTTTTAAGCCATGTAAAGCGCTTCAAATGCCTTATGATTTAAGTGCTATATAAATTAATTATTATTATTCCATCAGGACTATATCACAGCCAGCAAGCTATAAACTTAACAAAATTTTGAAAGAAAACCGTCTGGTTTTCTTGGACTGATATGCCACACACCGTTCTACGCTTTTTTATGAAACGCAGATTCCCAATACTGTTAAACTGTGCTGCTATATTGAACTCAACTTTGGCTACGTCAAGAAATGTCAATTCTATTGTCACTCTAAAACCATGTCGTGCGTTCCTTTTGAACGGTAATAAAACGACCCAATCTGGGAATGCACCACCTCTAGTATTCAACATTTTCTGAAATTGCTACGAAGAATGTACGAAAAAGAAAAAAAAGTTCTTCTTTTTTTGCGGTAAATATTGGTCATGTTGAAACAGGCCTAGCCACACTGTCGATTACCGCCCCTTCCATATTGCAATTGCATTTACCGCTTTAAAATTAAAATTGGTTGACAAGGATTGATTAAAAACTGAACCAAAAATTTAATTGTCCTAGGTTAAGGCTTAGGGTATCGAATCCAAAGACACGGAATACGAAATCCGACAAAAACAAAACTGAACTCTAGGGTGTTGTCTGAATCCAATATGGTGGATTTAGAATCCTTTGCAATCATCCGAAATCCACCGTGATGGACCGAATTGAAACGGCATGAAAAGCGAGAGAGAGACAGTGAGTGACAACTGCTGCTGGAAAAATGGATTRTTTTAAAAGTCCCTCAGGGATAACCTTTAATGTTTCAAGGTCATGATCAATGCACATGCCAATAATATTTCCTTCCGTACCTTCTAAGCCTAAAAAAATTTCGTTTGATCTCCACCGCGCTGAGAAAACAATTTTTTAAACTACATTGATCGAGAAAAGGTTTTAAATACGCTCAGTCATGCTGAGGTATGCGATTAATATTTAATAATTCCATTATGCGTTGGCAAGATGGCTATGCATTCAGTACGCCACCTCTGATATTATTTGCCATTGTGGTTTAAACCCGGTTAAAGTGACGCTTAACAGAATAAAAAGATCCATTTTTCCCGCAATGAGAATTGTACAGAAAATATTAATGCTTTTATCTTTCTAGTAACTGAGTTTTCGGTTAACCATATGCCATAGGACGCGGTGACAAAGTGACTTGCACCGGGTTCAAAGCTACGATAGCACAGAAAATAATTACAATTGTAATTRCAGAGACGGGAATTGATCGCTTTAGTTGTGGTTTCGTCTTCTCGTCATGATCAGCAGTTATAAAAAACGCAAACGAAAAAATAATTTAATAGATAAAAAAAAATGAGATGAATTTTCTTACCAAAATGTTTCCAAAAACATCTCATTAGGATTGAGTCTTAAATCTATCATATTTTTTTGTCATTTGAGTTATATAGTTGTTAAGAGCGTCGATAAAGTCTTTGAAACGGGCARTTGTTATCGTTAATAAAATAATATAGGAATTCTTATAACATGAAAAGGACCGCCAGCCAAATAATTCACGAAGTTGTGCCCATACATATTTTTCGAAGGCTATGACCGCCCATAAAGAGGCCATTAAGAGATTGTGGTTCAAGTCGCTGCAAGCGTAAAAGAATGTGCCTTTATTTCATCCTTCCAAGTAAGCGACCGCTTTTCAGTATTGCACACTTTCTTGCGCCTTTTTCAAAAAACAAATAAATCACGTGAAAATATTTATCATTACAATGAACTCAAATTTTTTTTTTAGTCTCCAAATTGAAGCTAAGCCTATTTTCCCAAGCCCTTTGAAAAGTTTTAGGTGGTATTTAAAATGACGACTTTAGTTGGTGTTTTCTGTTGCTTTTAATTTTATCAAGGTCTTTGCGCAAGATAATAACAGCGGTCAATCGCCTTGAACTTGGAAAGGGCATATTTCTTTTGTTTTTAAATCCATTAAAAGGTATTGACGCTTATGTACCTTGGCATATAAAATGCGCAATATCAGATTTATCCAGTTTTGTAGCGCCATCTCATCTAACTGATTTAATTTCATTCTGAAAGGCACTAGAGTTCAAATACTAAGACCAATGAGTAATTGAATATAGCTAAATTGTGCTGAATTGTGAATTCTTTTCTTTTTCRTTGTCTTAGGGTRATCGCACTTAATCCGTGCAACTGTACAAACTAAATAGTGATGTTTAGGTGTATTTAGAAAATCGTGCATGCGGTACGTAAATTAAATTGAATTGATTCAAATGAAGCATTCAATACCGTCTTGCTTCAGGTCCACTTTTAGTACAAATTAGAACTACTTAGATTTTGTACAGTTGCACGGATTAAGTGCCTTCACTCTATCTGACTTTTTTAGTTCTATTTGGTTAGTACTTTTTCACTCGMACGCTGTTTTACTGTTTGCTGTTTCTAATTTACCTATAGGTAACTATGCAATGAAGTCCTTTRTGGTTCGAGTCACTAAAGGGCGAGAGGGTAAAAATCAGTTACCATTAGCCATCCTGATGAATTTAGACACTGAATTATTGCACTAAAAAATTCATTAAGGCATAACAAATATTAGTTCAGCTTTGTACGAGTCTATTTGATGAAGTTGTATTTATAAAACATTTTTAAATTATGTTCATCTTCCTATAGTTTTATACTTGTGAGTTTTGCAATTAGGTGAAAATTTGGGTCATTGATCATTAAATAGAATACAACAATGTGCAAAAATTCTGATTGTTAATCACATATTATTATATCGGGTACATCAAGGGTAAAATCTTTTTTTTTTTTTTTTTTTGCTCGTTTCTCGTCAAAACAGATATCGCAAATCATTCGAATATACTTTGAAATTATATTTATTAAAAGTTATTGACAAATTAATTTATGACAAATTAAGGGTTTCATTTTAACTTTCATGAAACCTATATATTAGTGGACAGAATTTCTTAAATTTTGCTGTGTACTACTAATGTTAAACATAACTTAAAGTTAAAATGCATACAATTTTTTTACCCGATGCTTAAAACATGAGTGTTCAAAATGTACGTGTCGAGAAATCTTCAAAAATTAAGGTGTCATGTAGATGTTCTTTAAAAGGAAAAGCAAAAAAGGCTCTTCTTCACGAAATTGTCGGTTAAGTATTTAAAAGCATGCTCTAGCCTTGCATCTCATCTTTAGCGACTCGATGTAATTAATTGCATTTTGTATCCATTTCTAGCTTTTTTTAGATCTTTCTAAAGTCGTAAAATGCTATTACTTACTTTTGTGTAATGTAATTTCAAATGTTTTAAAAGCTCAATCGTACACTAAGCTCGCTTACTAAAGTCTTTATTTTTTTCTCAAATCGTGCAAAATGACTTAATCGCCTAAAAGTAAATGACTAGATAGATTTTAATCTTATTGGATTGATCTGCGAGTCGGGTGGTTAACTGAATCACGAGCTAAAGCGCCTTTTCGTCTCTATAGTCTAGTAGTTCTCAACCAGTACGTTTTTATGCCTGAAGACCCTTTGGGAAAGACCAGTTAACCGCTTCTTAAAGGTTGACCGTTTATGTAGAGAAAAACGTAGATATAGATGAGGATTGACTTCTTTGGGAATTCATTAGTGACCGCTTAATGAGGTTGACCGCTTAAAAGAGGGACGTTTGATAGAGTTTCGACTAGTACAGACAAAACATTTTATTCGAATACACATTAAAGGTGAATCATGACTGAACAGCATTCAATGCCTTCATGTTTTAGAATTTTTAGAATCTAAATTGATCGCGTGGCAAATCAACTCTCATTGCAGCACGGACATTTAGCGCTTATCGTATGTTATCCAATAGCATACTGCGATATTGGTCTAAACCGCTGATAGTGGCATCGTGGGCTATGCAAGTGACATCCCACAACATTCATTACGGTATGAAATTGGACACTCGCTGATCTATGTATCAAGTGGTTTAATTTGCCAGGGACATCAGAAAGTTACAGTGTTTGTCCGAATTCCGAATACAGAAGCCTTTGCTCGCAGCATATATAGTCAAACGACTCTACAAAACAAAGAGTACTTTTTAAAAAAAAAATACGCCCTTGCGTATACACAATTAAGCCCGACGTCTAGTCGTAATCTATCCAAATCCGTGGTAAAATATACCTCCGGTAAAATACACCTCCAATGTTTTTACAACATCTTTGTGGTATCTAATTCAGTCTAGCTAGAAAAAAAAAACAATATAATACCCAGGATGTCTGAATTCTGGAACAATCTGAAGGTTGAATTATCGTCGYATCCCACAATAGACCTTTCCCAAAAATAGAATGGCCCCTAAGGTACTAAAGTTGAAACTYTACTGAGAAACTTTGTAAACAACTAATTTTAATTAAAAGATGAAAGACCGGCAGTAATTGGCATTTAAAAAAAAAACAATTGCTTATTCTATTTTTCAGAGAAATGACTGGGACTAGAATAGGCGATATGCATTATGGCGTCATTTACTACAACTACCAGAATGAATTGCCAACTTTCTTTTGTAATGCAATTAGTACCAATTGTTTTATTAATCTTCAAGGGGATTAAAAATCTGAATAACAATGAAAATGCGCAAGGCTCTCTGGTAGTTGTAGTAAAGTTACGTCATAATGCAAACGGTCTGTTGACTAGTGCATTAAGTGAAGCATATACTGAAATAATTCATTTGTCATTTTGCCCCAGTTTGAGAGAATACTGGCAAAACAACAACAACAAAAGCAAACACAAACACACACAAATAAAGCCCGAAATTTCCAGATACTTACAAATAAAACTAGCAYATTTTCTTTTTCGTTTTGACTGTAATCGTTACAGAAATATTCGAATGCGGCGGGAAAAGCCGCCAAAAGGCACAGTGCGCGCGTTTGTGGTATGCATTGAAAAGATCAGGAAAACTTCAATACCAAAATTTCCCCACCAAAGAAGCAAAACATCATTTTTTTTACAGAGACCTTTGAAAATTAGGGACTTGCATATTGTCTATAAAACCAAAATTTTAAATTTCAGTTTCTTTGAGATTATTCAGCGGTCATTTCAATATATTATATAATATTACCGGGTTGCCTGTGTTTTCCCTTGCTGTCAATCAACAGCTAGTGGCATTATGTAATTGGCTTGATATGCACGTTGGAATGTGGATACCGATGAGAGGTCTCGATGAGCGCGTTATTTCATTTTGTCAAGAACTTTCAAACGGAGTTCAATTTTCAAAAATTTCCAATACTTCTTGGACGGCTGCAGTTTCTTTGCGTTGGTGAATTGGCGGTCAAGCACAATAGCAAGATACTGACAAGACTTCCAAGTAAGTTGCAGTCTTTCTAGTTTCTTGCGCTTTCGTTTTAAGCGAAGTTTTCGACGTCAAATTTTAACGAGCTTATCCGACATCTCACTTACAACGGTGGATAAATATCCGTGAGACTGTGCCAAGAAAATCATAAAAAATATAATGTTCTGTACTTTGTTTTTATAATTATTGCAACAAGATGCATATTTACCCAGCTCCCTAGTCAATGCTATCCTTTGATGGCATCCACATTTGGAAATACTTTCACGCAACATTGCGGAGTAGAGAATGGAGA